AGGGGGTCTCTCACAGGATGTGGGCGGTGGGGGGGGGTAGTTCCCCAGGGGGTGGCTCCCCAGAGGGTCTGGGCGCGGGGGCTCCCAGGGCTCCCCGTCGGGCCCAGTGGAAGCCCTGCCCTGCGGTGCCTTGCAGAGGCCCAGGTGCTGTTTGTGCGGAAGCTGCAGGACGTGGTGGCCGAGGAGCTGCAGGACGCGCTGCTGGAGGTGGAGCTGAGCCGCGAGGCCGGCGAGGTGCAGTGGCTGAAGCAGGGGGTGCTCCTCCAGCCGGGCAGCAAGTACCAGTTTCAGGAGGCCGGGCGCAGACGGGGCCTGACCATTCGCAGCCTCAGCCCCTCGGACCGCGGCACCTACCGCTGCGAGAGCCTCCACGACCGGACGCAGGCCAAGCTGAGCGTGGCGCGTAGGTGTCCCTGCCCCGGGCTCTGGGGCAGCTGCGCTCCAGCAGGGCCTGGCCAGGCCATGCCAAGGACGGGAGAGCCTGCAGGGAGGGGGGTGTGGGGGTGCGGAGGGGAGGTAATGGTGTGTGTGGGGTGGCCTGGAGAGGGGAGTGTGGGGGGGAGGCTATGGGGTGGTCTGAGGTGGACAGGGGATTAAAATGGGGGCCAAGCGACTGAGGCTGAATCTCTGGGAAGTTCTCTGGCAGCTGCAGCTGGCTGGGGGTCGTCCCTGGGAGGGGCTGTGGGGTCCCATGGCTGGCCCATCCCCTTGGTGTAGACCCATCGCTGCCCCCTGGCACCGGTCCGGGAGCAGACCCATCGCTGCCCCCCTGGCGCCGGTCCCAGAGCAGACCCATCCCCGCCCCCTGGCACCGCTCTCTCTCCCCTGCAGCCCGAAAGGTGTCTGTGCGGAAGCCACTGTCGGACGTGGAGACCTTTGAGAAGGAGACGGCCACGTTCCAGCTGGAGCTGTCCCATGCTGACGTGCCCGGGGTGTGGACGCGGGACGGCATCCGGGTGAAGCCCAGCCGGACCTGCCGGGTCAGCGCCACGGGCTGCGTGCACAGCCTGACGCTGCTGGGGCTCACGCTGGAGGATTCGGGCACCGTCACCTTCACCTCCGACACCCTGCGTTCCAGCGCCCGCCTGACCATCAGAGGTGGGGGCTTAGCTGTGGGTCGGGCCACGGGTCACACCGTGTGGGGCCTGCCAGGGAACCAGTCTCTGGCGCCACCTGCTCACCCCGTCCTGACGCTCGGAAGAGCCTCAGCCCGACATCGCAGACGCTGCTGCTGCAGCCTGAGCGCCGGGGTCTGCAGCCCCTGCCCCAAGAGCAGCTCACAGGCACGGGCCAGCGCTTGCAGCGAAGCAGGGCCCAGCCGTGATCTCCCCGCTGTGAGCTTCTCCACAGCAGTGCCCAGCCGTGACCTCCCCGCTGTGAGCTTCTCCACAGCAGTGCCCAGCCGTGATCTCCCCGCTGTGAGCATCTCCACAGCAGTGCCCAGCCGTGACCTCCCCGCTGTGAGCTTCTCCACAGCAGTGCCCCGCCGTGACCTCCCCGCTGTGAGCTTCTCCACAGCAGTGCCCAGCCGTGACCTCCCCGCTGTGAACCTCTCC